GTGTGACGGGGAGAGAAAAATAATAGGGTCAGAGCATAGAGAGAGAGTAATGGAGTAGAGTGGAGAGTCAGAAAGGAAACATAATAAGGGCAAAGTGGACAGAAAGAGAGAAAAAGGGCAAAGTGGAAAGAGGGAAAGAAAAAAGGTCAAAGTGAAGAGAGAGAGAGAGAAAGAAAGAAAAAGGGCAAAGTGGAGAGGGTGAGTGAAATGGTAATATGGAGTGTGATGGAAGAGAGAGAGAGAAAAAATAATAGGGTCAGAGCGTAGAGAGAGAGACAATAATGGAGTAGAGCAGTGAGTGAGAGTGAACAAGTAATAAGGTTAGAATGGGGAGATAGAGAGTGAAATAAAAGAACAAGGAAAAGCAGAGAAAAAGTATGAAAGAGAAAGGAAGAAAAGAAACAGAATATCCTTCCATAATTTAATGTCATTCTTTCCTCGACTGAATAAAGTTAAGCCATAAGAGAGATTTGTCTTTCAACATGCAGGACATTGGCCACCATTGCCAGCAATTATGTCCTTAAGCTGTTTGAGACAAAATACCATTCAATGTAAGGCTTTCTTACTCCTTGGATCACTTTTCCTCCCCAACAGTTTGCAATACATCAACTCTCATAGAGTTCCATACAGAACAACCATCTTGCAAAATGATTCATTAACATTCAAAGTTAATGGCTAATTCTGTGTAATTTCCATTGTATCGAAATTGCCATTATTCTTTTTATTCTTGACATTTACCATATTTAGCTGAGAAGAGCACAATGCAATTTTGGGAGGAACTGGAAACAGAAAGAATGGGTTGTGCGAATCTTTCAAATGGAGAGGGCATGTTTGCTTTGAATATATCATCATTTATTTTATTTGACCACAAGAATTTTTCTTTCATAAGAAATGAAAAGGAATAATTTGTTATGAAAGTCATTGAGAAAAGGATTTTGTATTGAAGCAAGTATCTCTATCTACCATGAAAATACTGTTGCATTTTCTTTTTTTAATTCAACCCAGGCAAGGCAGTAAAGCCACTAAGACACAAGGGGCTTATTAGATGCAAAAGAATGAGAAAACAGAAACATTATTAAGAAGCAAAAAGTATTTATTTTTCTCTGTTGAATTTAGCACTTAGTAAGAAAAAATATCTGGGATCCATCTTTTGCCTTGACCAACACACACAAAAAATATATTAAGGTTGTCAGACTGCATAAAAATTTAAAGCAATTCATATTTTTAAGTATTTGTATTTCATATAAATTATACATATAATCGTCTCTGAATAAATTTCTGAGATGACAAATTTACATTCGGACTTGTCTTCAGATTTGTTGTTGTTATCGCAACGTTTCGGCTGTTGTGCACTCAGGCCTTCTTCAGGTATATGTTAGTCTGGATAACTTTCAGAGGATTTCAGGAAATAAAGGGTTCAGTTCGAAATTCCTTGAAAGTTACTCTTATCAACAGATGCCTGAAGAATACCAGGGGACACAACACCTGAAATATGATAATAATAACAGAGATAGTCCGAATGGAAATGATATAATAATCTGTCAATAGTGCCTGACCAGTGACAATCATTTTTTGCCTCATTTTCAATATATAACAAACTAAAGGAGTTCTAAAAGTTGTTAATACAAAATTTTAGCAAATAAGTAAAAAAAAAAAATTCATCAGTGCTTAAATTTTAGTACTACATAATTCACAGGTATTATTTCCTCTACTACCAAATTATTTTCCAAAGCCACTGAGCTGCAATCATCTTGTTCTTGATTTCAGTCATGGTCATTTTTGCTGTTGCCATAGCAGGATATGACAACACAGCCAAGAAATTCAAATACAATATCATTTGATGATCAGAGTCACCTGCAGTAGAATTACAAAATTTTGCTTACCAGATGAAGTTACCTACACAGTGCTAATGAAATTTTTACCCTGTCACTAGAAAGTGTAGAAAATTACTAAATCTAAATTAGGGAGTAATTGAGTAATGGTAAAGTCAATGGGCAGTGATAATAAAAGCTGAATCTTGCCTATCCAAACCAGGTTCAAATTTTGGTACTAAAATTAAACCATTGTTCTATTTTTTTCCTTACGCCTATAGAATTTGCAATGTCACTAGATATGGAATCATTGGCTTGAAGGAAAGCTTTGTTGTGCTGGAATAATAAATCCTATCAATAAAATAAGGATGGGTTACTTTTTGGAGAATAAATTTTTTAAGCAAACATCTCAAATTCAAAATGAGTATTTTTAGTTTGGATTACAAGAAGTTAAAATTAATAACACAAAATCAAATTCAACTACATTAAAAACTAATTGAGGTTGAAAATGTTTTCCTTAAATCTTATTAATTCTCTGCTTTCATAAATATTCGCTTAGGGGTCACTGAGAGCAATCATTTACCATAAGAAGGTGGCCTTGCCTACATGTGAAACAACCCAAAATATTGTGATTTCTCTCTCTCACACACACACATGCACATACATTGTTGCCAAGTAGGGTTTGTTATCTATCATGGAAATGGTCTTTAAAAATAGCTGGCATCATCAGGATTTTTAATTTCCAGATAACTTTATAGCTAATAAGGTTGACATGTACTTAGTAACTTAACACGGACTCAGTGAAACTAGTTTTATCCATTTGTCTTTGTTAAATAAAAAAAAAAAAAATCACAATTTTTTTTTTGTTGTCAGAATCCATCTTGCACATTTACAAATCTACCATTACTCCATACATTAAAGATCACTGTCATGTCTGATCTGGTGTTTCTACTAGAAATCTCACAATTCTTGACAAAATTGAATGAAATGTTTGTAATGTAATCAGCCTTAGACTGGCTTTCCTCTACCTTTTCTACAAATATTTCCATGACAATTTTTCTGATGAGCTTTCATCCTTTTACTGTAAAAACAAAAATCCACTTCATCCTTTGAATCAAGTAGCAGCAGTTTGTACAAATTGTGGCCTAGTCAACTTTGATCTTCAAAAATTTAAATGTAATGTCAATTATTATCTTCTGTCTTCTTAATTCTAGTTCTTTTATTATTCTCTCTCCTTTTCTTTTTTTTTTCTCATACTCTTCATGACTCAGTAACCCCTTGCATCTTAGTGGTTTTATTGCCTTGCTTGGAGTGAAATGATTGAAAAAAAAAAAAAAAAAAAAAAAGAAGTGATATAAGATTAGTGATTGGTCACTTAAAATAAATTGGATGACTATCAGTTGTCAATTATGATGCTTAAAAATACAGAAAAATTTTTTTCTGAAAGATAGGATCCCTGAAAAATATTAGATTTTTTTAAAACAGTTTTTTTTTTTATTTTGAATTAGACCACACCATAATTTCAACATGTATATAAAGCAAACATGTTAATGGCAATTTTTCTGGATTTTGACAATTCTATGACCTTGTTTCCATGCAATCTGTTTCTCCTAAAGTTAATCAATTTTTTTCCTTTCATGAGTCTGCTTAAAGGAATTTTCTAGACATTTTATTTGATGATATTCCTTTAAGAACAATAAAATTAGCAGTCTAATAAATAAAATTTGATTAAAGGTCAATACTTAGTTATTTTCATAGTAGGTTGTCATGCAAAACTTTACTCATAGAAAAAGCTGGAAGCAGCTAAAGTGCTAAATACTGCTTTTAGCAATAACGTTCTGTTCCGATGTAAACACAGAAGAAAAGAAAATAAGACCTTCTGTTTTAGAGGAGAAAAATGTAAGAGTAAAAGTAAAAAAAGAAAAGAAAAAGAAATATGTTCATCTTTATTTCATCACCGAGTCCATCTTGAAGCAGAATAATGTTTATATGGCAAGCTTCCCTGGACAGTTGCATTCTGGAAACTGCAAGCAGTCAATAGATCACATGTTAAAAAATAAAAAAAAAATAGAAAGTCAAGACTGAAAAGATATCAGATTTTGATGGCTGTTATCTCAGTAGTAAGAGTTTTAAACTGAATACTAACAATGTCTACTGTTTGTGTTATTGTTGTAATATAAAAATGTAGATTTTATAGACAAGACTTAGATAGCTGAGAATAAATACTCAACAAAGGCTAAAGTATAAAAGATGTCTGAAAAGTAAGGGACAAATATTTATTATTCCAATACTTTCTGTCTGAATTTCCTGGTATGAGTTATCAATATTTATGTTATATATTTGGACAAATGTCTTCAGCTTTGTTTTTATTATCACCTCCACTGGTGTATCACATATATTTGATTCACACAGTATCACATATATATGAATAAATTTTTAATTTATTATTTTGCATTTTAATATAGCTTCCTTGACATTCTAGAACCATCATTGGCTCTTCAATTATTTTGTCAACTTTTCAACACTTTCAATGACATGAATAAATTATTATTTTACTTGTTAATATGGGTCCCTTGACATTCTATAACCTTCATCAGTCTTTCAATCATTGATTTTGTTGATTTTTATACTGTTTCAATGTTATAAGTTTTTATTGCTCTATGGAGATCTTTGCTTGAATAATATTTTTCATGATTATATACATCTTTTCATAATTTATATACATAAATTATAAATTATACATACATAAATTATAAATTTATATACATCTTTTCATAATTTATATACATAAATTATAAATTATACATACATAAATTATAAATTTATATACATAATTATATACATCTTCTTTTCATAATTTCTCCTCCATTGATGTATCTCATCAGGTTCATTCTGATTCGATTATTTCTGCCTGACTTTCTGGATTGATTGGTTTATTTTTTACAGCTTTTGCATGTCATTTAAAATATTTTTAGACTGTAAGAATATTTATTTCGAGATAATTATGATTTACCAATACAAGTCTTACTAATTAACCCATAGCTGGGGGAGAAGTGGTGGATTCATAGCTTTCCCAAGGGTATTTGTATGTAAGTGAATATAATGAGTGAAATATAACTGCAATTGGAACTCAGCTCTCTAATTTCCAATTCAAAGCCATTATCCATTACACCACTCACACATCCAAGTTTACAGCACCTGGTATTCCCAAGTGATGACCCATCTAGGTACTGACCTGGTTCAATGTTGCTTAACTTCGATGATCAAATGGGAACCAGTGTTTCAACATAATATGTCCATAATCTCTGAAGGTCTGGAATGAGAAGTTGATATTTACATTATTTGGACTAATATCATCTTCATTTTCATAATGTAACAGAGTAATAACCAAATGGATTAAAATATTAGTTCATGAATTTGATATAGATAGTAATTAAGAGTTCAATCCCTCGTTCAGGTAGTGTAAAGTCAGTCTCAGTAGAAAACATAACTGGACAGGACTAATTAAGAACAAGAAGAAATATTCCTTGGCATCGACAGTAGAAGGATAACAGTCTACTCCTGTAGGAAAATGTAATAAAATCAATAAATAAGATAATAAAAAAAAGAAAAAGAAATACATTTTCCTATGATTCTAAGTGTAAATGAACTGGAAATATGATTACCCCACTTGATTTGGTCAAATGCCATTAGGTGGCGCTGTTGACATCTATAAAAAGACAAACATTTACTCACTCACTCTCTTTCTCCTTTTCACTCCAAGTTGTATAACCTTGTGGTAATTACGTTCCCACTGGGGAATGTTAGCTTTCCAGGTCCACTTACAACTGAACTTTCTTTTCAATTTCCAATGCATGGCACTTGCACATGTCTTCCAAAAACCTCCACCTCCATCAAATTTTCTCTTTGGTTATTCCAACTTAGTGCAAAGTTGTCTTGAGCGCGACCATTGTAACAATTCATATACATACTTACTCTAACTTCTCGACCAAGAAAAAGAAAATAGACATGCCATAATCATGTTTAAATCTTCCAGTGATAAAGTAGATACAAACTTTCCTTTGGTTGTTCCAACACTGCACAAGGCTGACTTGGGCTCAACCATTAATACAATGATTATACTTAAACCAAAAAGTAAATGGATATATCTAAGAGAGATTAGCAACTTTGTTTTACTACAGTCTCCATAAAAATAATAAATGGTCTGTAGTAGAAACACAAGTTTTTATATGCTTTTTCTTTGTTTATCATATGTTAATATGTGTACACTTAGAATACAAACACATACCTTTCTAACTTATATACCCCATGTAGATTAAATAAAGGGTTCACTTCAGAATTCCCTGAAGGTCAACCAGATCAATAAACACCTGATGAAGGCAGACAAGTACAACAGCCAAAACCTTTTGATAGCAACCATGAAGATGAAAACATTAGACCAAAATAATATTTCTTGACATGCAAATAAAACCATTGTGCATGTGTTATCATCAGTACTTTGTTACTTTTGTACATAGTTGTGACTGAGATTGGTACTCTCATCCCATTATTGCAGATATTTGTAAATACCATCCTTAAAAAAATGCATCAAGCAACTGCTGTCATACATGCACCTCTGCAATGACAGTGTCGTATGTTTCCTGAATAAATGTCATCAGAGGTATACAAAAAGACGATAATCTCAAGCAGTCAGGCTTGATTTCAGTCAGATAATGTGAAAACCTAGGGAGAGTTAGAGAAGTTGCTAGCTAAAAGAGACCAGAGGATGATTGTAAAAGAGGTACCATCCTAACACATAATAATGACACTCCATACAGAGAAAAGCTGACAAAAGTTTGGCTACAACAACAATAAGGTTTGCATGACTTATTCTATTCACTGTTTCATCTGGACTTGGTTTATTCAAATATTTTATTTCTGCATTAGATCTGATTAAAAAACAGCAAAAACAATAAACCCCATAACAGACTTTATGCTTCTGATGTTTTCAAATACTATAGGGGAATATTATAAATATCTCCAAGAAAATACTATCCTTCTGAATATGAGTCAGTATCATTCCAAGAATAGTTCACAATACTAAACTCATTCTTTGTTACTTTTGCTGTGACCATAATGTTTTGGCTGATCCATTCTACAGCCTTCTTCAATTGCACAACCCATATGGATGATATGTTTTGTAATTTGAAGATGAGTCAGTATCATTCCAAGACTTGTTCAGACTATTGATCTAATTATTTGTGTTGCTTTTGCTGCTGCCACAGTGTTTTGGCTGATCCATTCTACAGCCTTCTTCAATTGCACAATCCATATGAATGATATGTTTTGTAATTTGAAGATGAGTCAGTATTATTCCAAGAGTTGATCACAATACTAAACTCATTATTTATGTTACATTTGCTGTGACCATAATATTTTGGCTGATCCATTTTACAGCCTTCTTCAACTGTATAATCCATATGGAAGATGTGTTCTTGTTGTGTACGATACACCTAATTTACATAAGTGGAGTACCGACCATATAAATATGGGTTGGTACCGGAAGACGGGGTTTAGAAGAAGATCCAATCCAGAGACTCTGCCCGACTGCGATTTAGTCAACCCATTATGCAGGAACAGTCTTCCCAAGAATATACCAAAACTAACTGTAAATATTGTGTACCTTTTCCTTGTTTCAATACATTTTGTTAACGTACATTTTGTGTTGTATTATTATTATTCCATGCTTATCCAAGTTTCAACAATGGCGACGAGGTATAAAGAACTTTACGTTACGGAAAAAAAAAGAATTAATAATTGATAGCCTTCAACAATTGGGACAAGTGGAAGAACCCAGGCTGAAAAAAAAAAAATCATTAATTAAAAGTCGAACATCTAATGGAACGGAAAAGTATTCTGAAGTTTGGACAGTTAAAACTAGTTAAAGGACGACTAAGCTTAAAGGAACGTTCACTCGGAAAAATCTGGAAGGTGGCGTAAACAAATAACGGCGAAAAAAAAAAAAAAAAAATGCTGGCCGACTGAAAAAGAAAAAAAAAAAAAAAAAAAGCTGGCCGACTAAAAAAAACATGCATGGAATTAATTAAAAGGAGCACAAATACAACGTGTCGACTTTGAAAGGTAAGCGAACTTGTAAAAAAAAAAAAAAAAATTTGTTTATTTTTTTTTTGTTTGGTTGCTCAACAATATTTTATAAAGCAAGACATAAAATTAAAAAAGGCGTAAGTTGTTTCGATTTTTTTTTGTCTGCTTATAGTATATTCGTGGATACACAATTTAAAAGTATATTCTTTGTTGCATGAACACTATCAGCTAAAGATGGAGGGATTATCCAAAGTCATAGCTGAATTGTTTAAAGCCCAGCAGTTGAGTCAAACTGAGTTAGTCAAATCCCAGCAGTTGAGTCTGCAACAACAAAGTAAACAGTTTGCCTTATTAAGAGAACAGCAATTAGCACAGCAGAATTATCAAGAAAGGCAAGAGGAGTTGAGTCAGCAACGTCAAAGGGAACAGGAAGAAATGTATGTCAAGGTTTTGGAAATTCAAAAGTTAACATTGGAGAAATTAAACAACATTCAGGCAAATGAAAGTAACTCTTCATATTCTAATAACATCATATTTAATTCGTTGGAAACTTTCAACTATGTGCCAGACGAAGGAAAAACGTTTGAAGCGTACTTTAAACGATATGAAGATATTTTCCACACAGACTGTGAAAACTGGTCGAATTCAAGAAAAGTCAGTCTATTACTAAGAAAGCTAGGTACAGCGGAACATAGCAAATTTGTAGATTTTATACTACCAAGAAGAACAAATGAATTGGAATTCTCGGAAACAGTGAAATTGCTAAAGGAGTTGTTTGGAGCAAATATGTCGCTTTGGCATAAGCGATGGTTATGCATGAATGTAGCTAAATCCGACGATCAGGATTACTTAACTTATGCATCGATAGTGAATAGACATTGTGACAATTTCAGATTGGCAGAGATTACGGTTGAAGAATTCAAGTGTTTAATTTTTGCTCAAGGACTGGTATCCAGTAAGAGTGCCGAAATAAGACGTAGAGTTTTGTCTAAACTCGAATCTGAACAAAACCTTACCCTGCAAAAGTTAGCAGAGGAGTGTCAGCGGGCCGTAAGTTTAAAGAAAGAGTCTCAAAAAATTGAAGAAGCTGGTATTGCTTATATTAAAAAAGTGAAGAAACAGTCAAATTACCCATCAGAAAAAAATTGGATTAAAAATTCGGCGTATTTTAAAAATAGACAAGAAAAATTAAATGAAAAAAATGAGGAGGGAAAAAAAATGGTTCCGCCATTTAATTGTAGACGGTGCAACGGAAGACACTGGGAGTTAAATTGCCCATATAGAAATAAAAAATGTTTCGTGTGCCACAAGAATGGTCACAAAGGGTCGTGTTGTAAAACGAAAAAAGTCAATAGCCGAATTAGACAAACAAATTCAAATATCAAATCAGATAGAGATTTGAGGAAGTATGTGACGACTGAAATATTTAAAAAGAATATCAAATTTCAACTCGATTCGGGTTCAGATTTAACAATAATGAACTATAAAACATGGAAAATTTTAAAAGGCCTACAATAATGAAGTCAACGAAACGCGCTCGAACAGTGACTGGAAAGGAAATTAAATTCGAAGGCGAGGTTGTACTTCCCATGAAATTGAACAGGATAGTTAAAAAATAAAAGTTTTCATTCTGAAAATGGAGAAAACTTGATGGGTACAGATTTTATTGAAACATTCGAATTGTGGGATAAACCGTTAAACTCTTTCTGCAGAAAAGTAGAAAGTAATACGCAAACAAGACAGGACATTAATGAGGAATTAAAAAAAAGTTTCCGGAAACTTTCACACCTGGTCTTGGAAGATGTAACAAGTTTGAAGCCAAATTCGAATTAAAGGAAAATACTATGCCAATTTTAAAAAGAAACGTAATGTGCCTTTCGCAAGTGTAGAGAAAATTAACGAAGAACTTGATAGGTTGAAAAAATGGGAATTATTTCGAAAGTAGAATCTAATTCATGGGCTGCGCCGATTGTGTGCATAAAAAGAAATCAAACCAAGTTAGAGTCTGCGTTGATTTTTCGACAGGGTTGAACTCGGTAATTAAGGACTACCATTACCCGTTACCGAGCCCGGAGGAGATTTTTTTAACAAGCTAAATGGTGGAGTTATATTTTCAAAAATTGACTTATCAGATGCCTATCTCCAAATTCCGTCGAAGAGGAATGTTCGAAGTTACTAGGGATAAACACGCATAGAGGGTTA